CAGCAAAAACTGGTTGCTGCGCTTTTCATTGCATTTTCACTCCTTTTTCGTCCATATTTCATCTGAGATTGCTTCTTTTCTTCATGTTGCCTTGTTTAGACGTAATTTTTGAATACCTGCAAAAACATCAGACAAATACACGGAAATAACCCGAAATCGGATCGAAAACGGTTAGCTTTTAGTCGAATTATGCATGAAAATATCTATATGATTTCGTGTTATCAAATAACGAGATATCCTTCCATTTCTCCATGTTGAAAACACGCTGAGAGAGTAACTACCTCTGCAAACAAAGAAAGAAAACCAAACGAAAGTTTGAGGAAGATCTAAAATAATCTAGGTTTTAGCCGCCACCAAAAACTTTAGGATAAATGAAAAACAGAAAAATCACCATAAATTCAAAGAGAGAGGGAGAGTCTCTCTTTTCCTTAAAAACAAGTGAAAACTATGACCAAACTTCACATTGCAAAGGAGAACTTTGAATATCACACTCTAATATAAGGAAATTTTACCCCATACCCCTACAATTATACCCATACCCCTACATTAATATTTTTTGGACCAAAATATCCTCGTATAAAAATTTATAATTTTTTTCTTTTGTTCACCGGAAGACTTTTTGGAAGTCTTCCGGTTCACATTTTTTTTCGTTTGTTTACCGTAAGACTTTTTGCAAGTCTTCTGGTTCATATTTTTTTCGTTTGTTCACCAGAAGACTTTTTGGAAGTCTTCCGGTTCATGCTTTTTTTAAAAATTTTTAATATTGTCAATTATAATTTTTTTTATTTACTATCCTATCATATAATTTATTAAAAATTAAAATTAACATTTATATAATATTGTCAAATATTATAATATTTTTAATCATCTTAATGTTAGTTTTTTAATTCTATTCATGAATTCAAATCAAAAGTAGAATATATAATATACAATTATAGTTCTTAGTCATTTAATTTTATTTAATCCAATATCAAAGAATAATTTTAAGTTTCTGGATTCAAACATTGACCGAAACATATATTAATCATTCTTTAAATTATCAGTATTTGAAAACTATATATTTAAGAAAAAAATCTGAATTCATTGAACAAGCAAAAAATGAATTAATGTCCAATAATAAATTTTTTAATATAAAATAAATGATGGAAGAAAAAACAAACACATAATATTAATAATTTATTTTAAAATTTAATAGTTCAGATTCATTCTTATTTTATTATATATATATATATATATATATATATATATATATATATATATATATATATATATATATATATATATATATAATAATAATAATAATAATAAAAAACTTAATAATATTGATAATAATAATAATATAGTCCCAACAAGCAAATAATGAAAAAGGTTAAGATCTATTTTTTTTTTACTCACTTGTCTCAACTATTTTATTAATACTTTTATTCTAATTTAAATTATATGAAAACTATATATTTAAGGCAAAAATCTGAATTTATTGAGTAAGAAAAAAATGAGTTGATGTTCAATAATGAATTTTTAATATAAAATAAAAGATGAGTGAGTGAGAGAAAAATGACACATAATGTCAATAACTTATTTTAAAATTTTAAAATGACAAAAAAAAACATGAACCGGAAGACTTCCAAAAAGTCTTCCAGTAAACAAACGAAAAAAATATGAATCGGGAAACTTGCAAAAAGTCGTCCGGTGAACAAACGAAAAAATTTATAAATTTTTATACGAGAGTATTTTGATCCAAAAAATTTTATATAGAAGTATGGATATAATTATATGGGTATGGGGTAAAATTTCCCTAATATAATTCAAATGAATTAGACATTTAATCTACTAAAACAAAGCAATTCTGTTTTTTTTTCTTTCTTAAAAAAGAAAACTAAGGATAAACAAACTTGATCCGAATTGTAAACCTCTTTTCTCCTTCACTCTCGTCAGTGCAACCCTAATCAGAGTTTTGAACAATCAAAACTCACTCTACCTTCGTCAACTCTTCAAATCTCAATTCCAGTTACTTCCTTCGTTGCCGTCGCGATCCTCTCTAATCGCACCTCCGAACCTTGCGAATCGCACCTCCGAACCTTGCGAATCGCTGAGCTGTGAACGCGCTTCATCTGTCTCTGCGATTCCTCAAGGTATTCACTCTTCCCAGATCTAATCTATCCTGTAGATTGTGCAGTATCATTGAATTTGCTTTAAGTGCTGTTTCTGTTGATCTGTTTTTGAGGTTTGAAACTTTGAATTACTTGTATTACTTTAAGATCTGTTACTGCTCAATTTCTCTGCTGCCATTGATTACTTTAGGATCTGTTTATGTCAATATGTGTGAATTGAATGCGTGTTTATGGTGTGTTGAAGTGAAGCTGGTGAAATTGGTGATTCTTAGGTTTCCCTTTCAACCCGAGGAAAGTGTCATGGATGATTAGAGAGGTGAGATTTGAATGCCGGAGTGAGGTTTAAACTAAGATGGGGATTCCTAGATGGAAAACATACATAAGTCAAACGATTAAGCAACTTAATAAGCATAAAGTGAAGTGATATAATTATTCAAATACTCAGTGGGACTGACACCTCTTAAAAAAGGTCGTCAGCGTGTGCTTGAAAGTGACCCAGACACTCGTGATTTCGTTTAATTTATTCAATTTTCAAATTATTACTGGTGTCGACGTGTCAGTATTGGTGTCATGTTTCGCGAAGTATGAAAAGAAAAAGCTAAACCCAAACACTTGTGTATTTTTAAGAGTTTATAAAATTAGCTTAAGATATGTTTATAAGATGTTTTCTGCATTTTCACAAATTCTCCAAGATAGCTTTAGAAGCTGCTTATACAGAGTTTACTCTTATTTCCTCTTTGTTTGTAGAAATAGAAATATCATGTATATGCACTTATGAATTTGAATGGAACAAGCGCTTCAATTTGATGTCTGCTCAAATGCCTCCTATTGGTAAAAGGTTTTGGTGGAAGTTGTTTGTTGTTGTAATATTAAAAAAAATAGATGCTGTTTTTTATTTGCCTTGTGCCATGATGTGATGTGTCTATATTGTATTTATTATTGCCTTGCCTAGTAAACAATAGCCTCACTTTTTTGAGGCAGATGGATCACTGGTGTATATCCATGAACTTTAATTTACCTTTCATGGTGTGAAATTTCTTGATAGATTTTTTCTCTCTTTCCATTGGTATAATGTCAAACTGAGTAGGCTAGTTAGATTTTAATAAATGGATGTTATCTTATATCATTCCATTTCACTCTATTCCTTCATATACATATTCAAACATGCTCTGATTTTTCTATTTGAGATTCAATGTTAATTGGGGCATATACTTTTTAAACAATCACTTATTATGATGACCATTATCTTTGTTTCTAGCATGTTAACTTTGCTTTTCAGAATTTTCCTCCTAAGGTTTCTGCTTTCCAGTACTTCATTTTCTAGTTCTGGTTCCAATTATGGCATTAGGGCTGTTTCTAGTAAATCTAAACACAACATTTTCCTTCAAGCAAATTTGATTATAGCTGATATGTATATAACTCCCCATATAAGGTTGGAATGGAAGCAAAACTTGTGCTGTAGTCTCAGTAAAAAATCAGTTAGTTTACACTATATAATGATAAAATATTTAATGTCAATTTGGTAGAACTTATACAAGTACATTCCGAAGTAAGAGGCTGAAGATGATAGTTTTTTGGTTTGAATTTCTTGTAATAGGGCAGCCCATATAAGAATGCTCAGCTAATGTTGTTAAGTTTAGATTGTTTTGAAATATACATGATGGTGTGACAATTATTGGCATGTTAATTTGTCAAATGCTAATAATATTTAGCGCAATCAGAAAGACGAAAAATTCCAAGAATTTTAGACTGTGAATGTATGCTATTATTGGTTGGTTTATTATTAAAAGAGTAATAAGCAATTCCATCGAATTGCTAGATACAATGGTATACTGACAATCTTACTTGTGTTAATGTCTACTAACACAGTTGTCCACCAAGAAAATACTCCTTTTCCTAACAAAATATAAGCAAAATTAACCATTCACAACTTTTAAGATAATTAGTTATTCGCACTCACTTTTTTTAATCTTGTTTAAATCTTCAACTTCATTACATAAAACCGGAATCATCCCTCATCTCATTTAATTGCATATAAAAAGTGTCACTAATCATGAATCTCAGTTTTGATATATTCATTAAGTAGGATGGAAAAAAGTCAATTCCTTGCTTATATTTTGTTATCACTTAGATGTGCCAAATTTTGCTTATATTTTATTTATGGAGGGAGTATTTTGACCACATTGCAGAATTGAATGTTGATTATTAACAATTATACTTTATGAGTAGATTAGTATGAAATGACAGCAAACAACATGGAAAATGGATTCTGGTTGCATGAAGTATTCAGTAATCTGGTTATGCGCAGTATCTAGTCATACTCATCTCTTTGTTATACATTATAAATAATAAAATATATAATGTTGGTTGCTACCCTGTTTTTGTATATATAATGTTGGGTAAAATATTCCTACTATTTTTGTATTAGAATTAAGAGCAGTGAACTTTTACTTGATTAGGATATTTTAATGAATTTGTTTAGTATGTATCTTAGAAAACTCAATCTGGGAACAGTTTCCCTTGGTTTTTCTTGTCTTATAACCAAATTGTTGAGTATTATATGTTTCACAGCAATACAGTAAGTACAAGTCTCGGTTTTCTGTTTGTTCTTTTCGCACATGATATATTCTTCAGATGTGATGTGTGCATTTTGTCTAGCATAACATTGAGAAAATTGAAATTCATAAAAAGTAGCAAAATATGATTATGGAATAGTTCTTTCTGATTTTAAATTGTTGCCTATTTTTAATTTTGTATTCAAACTTTCGAAGCCTACATCCCTTGTTAATGCTCTATAAACAGGAGTTATATAATTAATGTCGATGCTTGTGTATTACACAGGATTCAAGTTTGCTGTCTCTGTTTCCCCTAGATTTTTCTTTACACTCCATGGCATATCCCTTCTCAGATTTCAAGTACTCTGACGGCCTCACTGTAGTGGGTATCTCCTTCTGTACAGCTATTGTCTGTGAGGCCATCTCATGGATTCTTATTTACCGCACCAATTCTTACAAGAACCTTCGGTCCTCCATTGACAAAGCATCCAAGAAACTCGAGACTATGAAGACTGACAGCAACAAAATCACCATTAAGAAGTCCAAAACCAAAAAAATTGACCGTGTTGAGACAAGCCTCAAAGAATCTAGTCGTGACTTGTCTCTCTTCAAGTTCAAATCAGGGGGTGTAGTTGCTCTTGTTCTCTTTGTGGTATTTGGATTGCTAAATTCACTCTTCGAAGGCAAGGTAGTTGCCAAATTGCCATTCCAGCCTTTTGGGCTTGTCATGAAGATGAGCCACCGTGGGCTGCAAGGTAATGATCCCACTGATTGTTCCATGGCATTTCTATACTTCTTGTGTTCCATTAGTATCAGAACAAATTTGCAGAAGTTCTTGGGTTTTGCACCGCCAAGGGGTGCAGGTGCTGGTCTCTTTCCAATGCCAGATCCCAAGACCAGTTGATCTAGCTCTGTTATGTTAGCATTTTATTTTGCTATTTCTAGGTTGTTGTTAAACTGGAACTGCATAACTTTAGTCATTTATATTTTATTCAGTTCTCTTAGGGAGACCAACGTGATTTTAATTGTTTTAACTGATACTGAAGAAGTTGACTTCAGTTTTATGATGGTTATTTGCTTGTTTTTAAGTGCAATAAAGAGTTTCTTTGCTTTTCAACGGTACCATAGAAAGGGAGTTTCTTCCCTTAGATCTCCTTCTCCAAAAGTCCTGTATTTTGTCTCATTTATTTGGTTAGAAGATATCCTTCTCAATTATCAGTGAGATTTTTGGTTGCTTTTGAAGCTTTTATGTTTTTGCAAGCAAAATCTGGTCCATTGATTTCCTTGGCTGTAGTTTGTTGTGGAAAACTCGTGTTGAATGTTTATAAAAGTAATTCTAAATACTGAGTCATTGACTTCTCATAGATAACCATCTGCCACTGGGAAAGAGTTGCAAGATGATGAATACGAGGAAGAGTGGCAATAGTGGTGAGAGTTAACGCCTCTGGTTTGGGATTTGTGCATTTCCAAACTTCTCATAAATAACAGATTTTAAAGTTTAGAGTTTCTATTTTCACTGTCAATGTGGTTTTGTTTGGGAGTTTGGAGGGAATGGGAGAAGAGGGTTTTGAAAAAAAAGGAAGAATTTAGTGAAATGAATAGGAAGATTTTGTATGAGGGTTTTGGAGGTTTGTTTTATTCATGACACCAAAAATTATTTAATTTGAATGGAGAAGGGTTTTGGAGGGCTCAAATATAATATTTGTTTTTATAATATTTTAAAAATTAAAAATATGTTAATAATAAGGATTATTTTACTGTTTTTAAAAAATTTATTTTTCGAAATCTTTTCCTCCCCTTGACATTTTCAAACAAAGTCAAAGAAAAATCAGAATTCTCAATTTGTAAAAATGTATCGGGAAAAAAGAAAAATTATGCTCCACGGTTGGATAAAGTTAAAGGCATTAGAGACAATTACGAAATATATCCCTTGCCATGATAGGGTGTGAATAGACTAGACATTAAGTGGGGGCATACACTCTATACACTCTGTAAGGTTTTTTTAAAGGGACTTTTTTTTGGAAGCATTTCATATTGCACCATATGTATTTGCAAATTTTGTATAATGTCCATAATTTTTGAAGATATATTTTTGGAAGTACCCTTTTTACACTCAAGGAAGAATATTATGGATGATCAGGGGCGGTTTTTGGGCCTGGCTAGGTTGGGCACATATCCAGGCTCTGGGGTCTAATAATTTTTTCCTATTTAAAAAAAATAAAATAAGTTTTAAAAAAATGGAAAAAAAAATAGAAAAAGAAAATTGAATAGAAAAAGAAAGTAAGGGTTCATCTCCAACTCGCCGCTGCCACACCGACTGTAAATTCATCTCCAAACCTTTGAACAAACTCTTCATAATCATCACCAATCTTCCACTGAATTTTCATTAAACCTTCAAAACTCTTCTTCAAACCAAATCGAGTGGATTTTAGAACATGAATTGGAGTTTTTTGTCATAAGCTTCGCGGTTTTCAATTTGAATTAATCACGCATAGTGACACGAAATTGAATCCATAGTTGGAATCTACACTTGATTTCGATTGATTATGTCTCTTTTCCAAGCTTCTATGCTCTGATATGGTGGATCTCAATTTCTCCTTCACCCAATGAACAGTGGCCGCGCGATGTAGCTCCAAGGAAGAACAAGATGTAATTTGTTTCTTTATTTAATCTTGTTAGATTCTTCTTTGATTTTTTTTGTTGTTATTTTGATATTTTAGTTTAATTTTTTTTATTTAAAATTCATGTGAATTGATTTTGTTACTTGATTATATTTTCTTATTGATTATTATATTTTGATTGTTCAACTGGTAGGAACTATTTTCTAAGCATTAGCTAGCGACTTCGGCAACCATACCACAAACGGTAGAAAGGAAAAGAAATCAATTTTATTTCAACAGTGAATAGGTTGAGGTAATGACACTAACCCATAAACACATTGACTGAATGTTTACATTTTTCCAATTCCCTTCAATTCCATTACAGAAAACATCAAAATAGCTGCACTCACAAGGTGTTTGTGAAAATGTCTCAGTGAGGATAATTTCTAGATTGGAAGATTTATTGTAAACTTTTACTTTATAACTTAATTAATATAATTTTATTCATTTTGTTTTAGCTTGAATGATGAATATTTTGTTAAAGCACTACTTTGTCAAGAGTCAAGTTAGCCTTTTGCATTGAGTTCATTTTATAAAGATTTATCATCAACGACATTTAGTTTATTTGTCTGGAATATGAACTTATGAACTTAATTTTGGTTAATGTTGCTTATGAACTTATGAACTTATGAACTTATGAACTTTTGAGGGTGAAGGAGTTTTTTGAGAGTGAATGGTTTTTGTGTGCGTGTGAGTATTTACTGAATGGGTTATGAACTTATGAACTTATGCTTAGGTGCAGGTTTTGCTTAATTTTGTTTGGATTTTTTCCAGAGATGAGGAGATTTTTGGTTGAGTCAGAACCAGAACCACCTCCGCCTAATGTGGTTAATGAGTTTAACCCAAATGAGATTGTGCGTGATTTAGGTCGTAGGAAACAAATTAATGAGTATGCTACGGATATTCAAGATCAAGTGAGGAGGGTATATATATTGAAAGGTCCAATGCAACCAGAATTGCCAAGCTTTCCTCGTACTCCATTTGGAAGTGTTAAAAGAGCATTTTGTAAATCATGGTATAAGAATTATACATGGTTAGAATACAGTGAGATCAAGGATGCAACTTATTGTTTTTATTGCTTTCTCTTTAAGAAACCCGGGAGGGCCGAGCACTTTGCTCCGTGCTTATTGATGAGTCACGTGATATATCCGTCAAAGAGCAAATGGCGGTGATGTTGAGGTTAGTAGTTGTATTTTCCAATTTCTAATTTTCATTACCTATTATTCTTTATGCTGCCAAGTAAACTTGTCGAATTTGTTTTAGGGTTGTGAACGAAAAAGGGAATGTTGTGGAACGATTTATTGCTCTACATCATGTCAAAGATACGACATCTGAGTCATTAAAGGATGCTCTTTATGGTATTCTTGATAAGTACACGTTATCTATTTCAAGGATACAAGGCCAAGTGTAACGCCCCGATTCTGAATTTCCTTTATTTTGAGTCCTTTCTGATTTAATTAATTGAATTATTATTTTAAATGTGGAATTGTGTGTTAATATGTTATTTGTGCATATTGTGCTATTTTTGCCTACTTTGAGAGTATCGGGTAAAATAGACCGGAGGGTATTTTGGGCATTAGTAATTAGGTTAAGTGAATATTTTATGTGAATTGATTAATTAGTGTGTGGAAAGAATTTGAGAGGAAATAAAAGAGAATATGAGTATATGAGAGAAAAGGGGAAAGTTAGTAAGATAGAAAAGAAAAACAAAGGAAAGAAAGGAAGAGAAGAGAAAGAGGAGAGAAAGAAGAGGAAAAACCTAGAACTTCAAGAAATCATCACCAAAGCTTTCGATTGTTCGGGTAAGGGTGTGAAACTTTATTATTCTATCAATGTGTATAATCATGTGTGATTTTGTTGGATTGTTTTGGATTGTTGGTAGTTTTTCTACACTTTCCATTTTAGGTTGAATTTGGTTTAATCGATAGAAATCGTTGTTTAACGGTTAGAATCGTGGTTAGATGGCGTAGATTAGTCGGTATATGTTAGACTAAGGCTGCTGGATATGAGTTGGAGTTCATCGGGTGATTTTATCGGTGGTTTTGGATTCTGAACAATAGGGAGAAGTTCTGATCGCAGACGCTCGCTAGCAGTTCGCTAGGCGAGCAGGTCGCGAATGGTCGCTGGCAGTTCGCTAAGCGAGTGCGCAGCGAACGGTCCCAAACTTGGGACAAAATGGTATTATGGTCTTTCGCTAGTAGCGAAGGGAGTGGCGAAGAGCTCGCTGGGGGTTCGCTGTGGCGAACGAAGTAGCGAGCAATGTTTGGAGGTTCTGTTTGCACTCGCTAGCAAGTTCGCTAGGCGAGCGTGTAGCGAACGTAGCAGGATGGATTTTCCCTGTTGCTAGGTGCTGTCGTGACTTGGGGTTTCGGTTGCGATCGACCCCCCTTTGATTTAGTAGTTATATGCTGGGTTGTGTTGTGCTGTGGGTAGCCGTAAGGCGTGAATCCTAGATTACGAATTGTGGCCGCTTGGGCAATTGTGTGCATTGTTTAGCCTGAATAAAAATCTATGATGTTGTACGAATATATGCGATGAATGTGTAGAATGCATGAGTATGTTTGTAAACATGTGTGCATTTTCAAGAGTGTCATGAGTCATGTTGCATGTGAAGCATCATGGTATGCATTCTTGTGTCGATTGATTCCTCGGTGAATCTGCAGAACCTCGTGTGCCCTTGTGGGGTGTGAGCGATGGTTAATTATTGATTCCTCGGTGAATCTGCAGAACCTCGTGTGCCCTTGTGGGGTGTGAGCGATGGTTAGTTATTGATCCCTCGGTGGATTTGCAGAACCTCGTATATAACGATGGTTATTTTGATTCCGCGTAGAATCTGCAGAACCTCGTGTGCCCATGTGGGGTGTGAGCGATGTTTATTTGGTTCTTCAATTGAACCTGCTGAAATGAGTCGGTACCGCATTTGCATCTGCATAGAGTCGTGTGTCGGTCTCTATGAGTTGCATGTTGACATCCTGCATGGTGTATGGTGAGTGAACATAATTGTAAATGTTTATATGAATTGTTGATGAGTGGCATGATTGGCATGCTTGAAGACACATGTATGTGTGAATATATGAATATGTATGTTTGGTGTGTTCATGAACAGATATAAACATTGTTGACGCATATTTGTATATGTATGATGTTCTATTTGTATATAGATGATGTGAATACATTGCGATGTACGGTATGACGAGGTGAGTTGCGGTGAGAATGCGAAAGACGTATTTTGGGTATTATGTAC